TTTTTGGGTAGTCAATTCCACTAGTATGACCCATAAATTAACTCAACCAATCTTAAGTCCATATTTGGCATGCTAAATATGAACAACTTAATAACATATTTAGTTTCTAAATGACATGTCATTATGTTGCAACTTCATAAACAAACAATTATTCATTTATTCCAAGTAATACTTAGCCAAATGATTTTTAGAAAATAGACTGGAGGAGTCCACAATTGGATTCCATTTGTCTAAGATGAGGTTCTACAAAGGGCATACGTGCTCTCACGCGCCTTCAAAGAGAATGTGTTCACAAAGAACACTGTTCATCTTGCTGAAATTCCCAGAAAAAATTTCCAGATTTTCATGATCATTTGGCCATCTTCGGAGACCTCTATCTCCTTCGTTATGCATCCAAATGACGCATATAATATATCATTGGAAAGCTCATGCAACATAGAATATGCTAAGGCAAAGAAACGGCATAGAAAAAAAATTTAACAGCATACAAACATGCTCTAAAAAACTTGAAAACAAACTATTTTTCATGCTCTTTGGTTTCAGTTTTTCTCCTAAACCACTCCTTTAATTTGTACGAAAAATTAAAGGCAAGTTCTCATCACATAGAGGAACATACTTCATGAAAAGAAAACATTAAAAAACAATCAAACAAAAACGAAGTTTCTTGGTTCATGCTTTCATGGTAGTTCTTGTGGAAGAAAAAACACATTCTCATGCATCATTCAACATGGCGAAAAGCAAGCATACAAGCTCTGATACCACTGTTAATAATCGTTAATATATATTCGGAATAAGGTACTGCATACCTTGCGGAAGATTCCAAGTGAAAAACCGCTTGCAATTACTAGCCCACCGTGATGCTTCCACGTCACGAACACGCCAACAAGATTCTACACGTTCTTCGTCTCCAAGGTCGTTGGATTGGCTATGAAAGTTACTCCATTGATTCCACGTACCCAAGACCAAGGCTCTTGGTGAATTGCCTAAAGGAGAGTGTTTAGGGAGATATGAGGTTTCTCTCTTTGTGGGTGTAAAACTCACTACAACTCTTTGATATGCACTCACACTTCTTGTCTCACACACACCAACTTAGAGAGTATGCACTAATGCTTCTCATCACTTCTTCACTTGCACACACTCCATCTATTTATAGGAGTTGTTTTAGCTCATCTCAAGAGAGCATAAAACATACACTAGTGCTTAAGTTGGTAGTGCCTTAAAACAAGGATTAGTGTAGTGCCATAAAACAAGGCTAAGTGCCTTAATTTGTGTAGTGCCATAAAACAAGGATTAGTGCATAATCATTGTTTTATTACATCTCCCACTCACCCACATAGGGTGTGATGACCTTGTTTTATTACAGAGAGGATGGGATGAGGTCTATACCGATAAAGTTGGGCTTCTGGCTGGATGAGATGAGCTTCAGAATGGTTCGATCGATTGAGGGGGATTGAGAAAGATCGAGAGTTTGAGAGAAAGAGAGAGCTGGCTGGGAGTGGGAGGAGAGTTCAAGAGTCTAGGTGAGAGCTCGAGTAAAACTCGCGTATATTTTTGTTTTTGTTACTATTCGGTACGGTACGGTGGCAAACGGTGGCTAATATATGCTACCGCACCCGTGTCATACAAGATTGGTACGATACGGTATGATACCGTATTAATTCGATGGCCGTACAGTACGGTATAAAATTGTATGATATGACACGGTATTGATACGATTTCGGTATATACGGTATAGGTGCCCAGCCCTAGTCACCGCTGCTGCCATAATTGCAATAGAAGCAGTGGCCCATCCTGGCCAGAGGATTTCTGGCCCAGTTTCTTTACTGAGCTCCTTGATGAGAAAAAGACTCAGGCTACTCTTGACTTGGTAATACAGCATAAGCCTCGTATTAGGAGTTATTTTTTTCAAATGATTGTGCATTTTTACCAAATGGTTTTAAACCTATACAAGTAAAAATATGTTTTTAAAACGGTACAAGTAAGAATACTTTATTTAAAATAATACTTCTTGAAAAGAAAAAGTTCTTTATTGTTTTTTGGTAACATTAAAAATAATTCTTATTGAATTTACAGTTTCGAAGCATGAGTTTCTCTTTTCCTTTTATTCCTTTTGTTCTTTCACAAGTTAGCTAGTTTCATCAAGCATTCTCTGCTTTCGTCAGTAACTTCATTGAAGCTAATGGCAAAGCTGATGCAATACAGTTCCTTGTTGAGCCCATCTAAGATTTCAAAGCAAGTTACAAATTTTATAGAGCTCGGAGAATTACGGAAACTAGCAACATCATGGAAAGGGCACCAGACGAGTTTGATGACATCTTTTCATTTTGGATGAGGAAATGGTGTCTGTATGCTGAAATGAGAAACAGTTTCATTGAAACAGACTGAAAATTTTTGACTAGAGATTCTGAAATGACCAAAATGCAGAGGTGAAAAGTTTTGTTCACTCATAACTTCATCTTTATCTCCATCTTTTGGAAAAGTTGCGAAAAATCAATGTAGCTTTCTCTGTTGTAACCATCAATCAACAAGTGGGTACTGTTCACACATGGGCTGCCCACACTTTTTTTTTTTTTTTTTTTTTTTGCCGACACATTCTTCTTTTTATTCCTCTTCTGCTCCTTTTCTCTTTCATTTTCCTATCACCACCAACGTTCATCCTCTTCTTCTTCTTCTTCTTCATAAAGCCCAAACTCGTGGGTACTATTTATCACTCTAGAAGTCCGATTTTGAAAGCTCAAATCAGAAAACTTCCTTCATCAAAGTTGTGCATCTGCTCGAATACTATAACTTATCCAAAAATGAGCATCATCAGATCGGTCTAGCTACCTCGAATCGGCTATGACATTTCTGTGTTTATCCACGACTGGTGAGTTTTCTGCAGCTCGGTTTTCAACAGTTTTCTTTCATCTCCAGTGCTTGTTTGACAAAATGTCCTTCTCTAAGGTTGTGCCTCAATTGGAGAAATATGACATATCCAAAACTCAGAGCAATCTAACTACTCTAGCTATGTCTGTGGTAAGCATGTTCGTCACTTCCTCAGATTCTGCTATTATCACTGTACAGTACCTTATTCACTCTTGTATGTCACTTTTCCCTTGCTCAGATGACAATGCTTCCTTCATGAAGGTTGTTCAGAAGTCTTTTCAGCATGGTACACCTGAAACAAGCTTTTGTTAGTTTTCAAGTGTTGTTTGAGTTGGTTATTTCTCTTTGGGAGCTTCACCCAGGATTTCGGACCAATATTAAGGTAAAGTTTTAAGATGCTTTGATTTCTGGAAATTTGTATCTGAGTTGTTGGCCCAAGCCGGTTTTGAAAGTGAAAGGACCAGAAGATAATTTAAAATAAGTATAAGTGCCAAAGTGCAAATAAAGGAAAATATAAGGTCCAAAGTGAAATTATGGATAAGTTTGAAGACTGAAATGTATTGGAAAAAGTATAGGGGCCATGCCACAGTAAAAAAATAAAGAAAGTATAAGGACAAAAGTGAAATTATTGACAAGTGTGAGGACTAAAGTGCAATTAAAGCCAGTTATAACGACTAAATTGCAAATAAGGATTTTTAGTGACATTTTTGAAATGTTCGACTAGGAATCAGTTGCCCAAGCAAGAACAATTTGAGTTCAAAGGTGCAGAATGCAAGTGAGACATCAGCTTTGGATTCCAGGTAGGAGGATTCACTCCCGGACATGTATTTTTGTGTATGTATGACATAGTATATATTGTTAGCTATGTTGTCTATTAGTCAATTAATGTGGCTAGTCAATTAATGAGGATTAGTTTGGCACCTACAATGGTTGACACCTACAATGGTTTGGTTGCCTAACTTTGTAGACTTGACCTTGGGAATTCAAAGGTTGCCTAACTTGGGGGGCTTGACTATTGTAATAAATGTTTTAGGAAACTATATATATGTTGATTGTAAGTATTGAAGAAATAAGTGAAAATCAGAAAATATTCTACAACTCTCATTCTCTCTACACTTTCCACTCTCTCCTCTCAATATTCTCTATGTTTTAACATGATATCAGAGCAGCGATCTTGGAATTGCTGACTCTTGTTCTGAATCTTCGCTACCTCCATGGGGGAAGATGTTTTTTTCCCTGCTGGAAATAGCACCACCAACCCTTCTCAACCTACCTACCTAGAAGCATTGACGACACCGATCCCGACCCAGACACCGACCCGACCAATTGGCCTCACCTGGACTAGGTGTTGCTGCCGACCCAACCAACCGACCCCGATGATCCAGACCTCGACCCCGACTGAAACTACACGATATGAAAAAGATCAAAAGAGATATGAAGCTACAAGTGGTGACTCTGGCTATGTATTCCATACTTCGGATGATAGAAATTCAACGGGCTGGATAATTGAGTCTGGCGCAACCGATCATATGACATTTGATCCTGATGATTTTCTGAGTACTAGTCAACCCAGACGAACTAGTATTGCTAATGCCAATGGAGTTACTTCTCCTGTGACCGGGGCTGGCACTGTGGCTCTCTCATCCTCTCTTTCATTATCTAATACTTTACTTGTTCCATCTCTATCAAATAAGCTAATGTCAGTTAGTCAGATTACTGAACAATTGAATTGTTGTGTATTAATCTACCCGAGTTTTTGTTTACTTCAGGATATTCACACTAATGAGATTATTGGTCGTGGTACTATGAGAGGGGGGCTATATTATATGGAGGATCTCAGTACAGGCATGGCTCACAATGTGACACATGATATCAAACAAAGGCAAGTCTGGTTGTGGCACCGTCGATTGGGGCATCCATCCTTTGGATATATGAAGCATATTCTAGCTTTTGTCAATATATCTGACAGCTGGTCTTCGGACTTGACAAACGGAAGCTGAATTTCGGAGCAGGAGCCAAGCGACCAGTCTCCAAGAGCCCAGCGATCGGTCGCTGGGCTCCTGGCGACCGGTCTCTTTTTGGCAGATTTGAAATTCTTCTTCAGGACTTTCTGACAACCGGTCGCTGGGTTCCTGGCGTTGACTTCAAATGTGACATTTGCATTTTGGCTAAAAGTCACCGTGTGCCCTACCATTAAGTTCAAGTAAGAGTATTACTCCGTTTAAGTTAATTCACTCTGATGTTTGGGGGCCCTCACCTATAACTTCTCATTCTGGCTTTCGGTGGTTTGTGACATTTGTGGATGATTGTACTCGTATGACATGGTTGTACTTGATAAGGAATAAAAATGAAGTGTTTACTATGTTTCAGTCTTTCCACAGACATATTGAAACTCAGTTCTCTACCAAGATCCGAGTTCTTCGCTCCGACAATGGGGGCGAATATGTCAATCATGACTTTCAAACATACTTCCAGATGCAAGGCATGATTCATGAGACAACTTGTCCTCAAACACCGCAGCAAAATGGTGTTGCGGAACGGAAAAACCGACACCTCCTTGAAACAGCACGAGCCCTTCTGATTGGAGCTCATGTTCCTCGTCACCATTGGGATGATGCTATAGTCACCGCAGTCTACCTCATCAACCGAATGCCTTCCAAAGTTTTAGACTTCCAGACTCCCTTACAAGCACTTGCCCAACATGGGCCCTTGCCCTCCGTTCAAATGCTTCCGCCCCGAGTCTTTGGTTGTGTGGCATTTGTTCACCTTCATAAGAATCAATGTGGCAAACTTGATCCATGTGCTCTCAGATGTGTTTTCGTAGGCTATGCTGCTCATCAGAAAGGATACCGGTGTTATCACCCCTCCAGCCGTCGTACGTATGTCACTTTGGATGTCACCTTTATGGAGTCGGAGATGTTCTTCCATGATCCGATGTCCAACTCTATGCCTCAAAAGGGCATAATGAACAAAGAGGCTCTGGGAATTCAAGGACCTGACGATTGGAGCAAAACAAACCCAAGCAATGAAGTTGAATTTCGGAGCAGGAGCCAAGCAACCAGTCTCCAAGAGCCCAGTGATCGGTCGTCAGAGAATCCTGAAGAAGAAATTCAAACCTGCCCAAAAGCGACCGGTCGCCAGGAGCCCAGCGACCGGTCGTCAGAGAATCTTGAAGAAAAAAAAAATTTAAAGTTTTAGGAAACTATATATATGTTGATTGTAAGTAATGAAGAAATAAATGAAAACTAGAAAATATTCTACAACATTTATTACAATAGTCAAGCCCCCCAAGTTAGGCAACCTTTGAATTCCCAAGGTCAAGTCTACAAAGTTAGGCAACCAAACCATTGTAGGTGCCAAACATTGTAGGTGCCAAACTAATCCTCATTAATTGACTAGCCACATTAATTGACTAACAGACAAAATAGCTAACACTCCCCCTCAAGTTGGTGCATAGATATCACCAATGCCCAACTTGATCAGTGAGTTGTGGAATACTCTGCTAGAAACAGCTTTTGTCAATATATCTGACAGCTGGTCTTCGGACTTGACAAACGGAAGCTGAATTTCGGAGCAGGAGCCAAGCGACCAGTCTCCAAGAGCCCAGCGATCGGTCGCTGGGCTCCTGGCGACCGGTCTCTTTTTGGCAGATTTGAAATTCTTCTTCAGGACTTTCTGACAACCGGTCGCTGGGTTCCTAGCGACCGGTCGTTTTTGGACAGGTTCGAAATTCTCCTTCAGGATTTTCTGACGACCGATTGCTGGGCTCCTGGGGATCGGTGGCTTTTGGGCAGGTTCGAAATTCTTCTTCAAGATTCTCTAACCACCGGTCGCTGGGCTCCTGGCGACCAGTCGCTTTTGGGCAGGTTTGAATTTCTTCTTCAGGATTCTCTGAAGACCGGTCGCTGGGCTCTTGGAGACTGGTCGCTTGGCTCCTGCTCTGAAATTCAGCTTTCGTTTGTCAAGTCCGAAGACCAGCTGGCAGATATATTGACAAAAGCTGTTTCTAGCATATTATTCCACAACTCACTGATCAAGTTGGGCATTGGTGATATCTATGCACCAACTTGAGGGGGAGTGTTAGCTATGTTGTCTATTAGTCAATTAATGTGGCTAGTCAATTAATGAGGATTAGTTTGGCACCTACAATGGTTGGCACCTACAATGGTTTGGTTGCCTAACTTTGTAGACTTGACCTTGGGAATTCAAAGGTTGCCTAACTTGGGGGGCTTGACTATTGTAATAAATGTTTTAGGAAACTATATATATGTTGATTGTAAGTAATGAAGAAATAAGTGAAAATCAGAAAATATTCTACAACTCTCATTCTCTCTACACTTTCCACTCTCTCCTCTCAATATTCTCTATGTTTTAACATATATTGCTGTGTGCGAAAACTGCAATGTTTGTCATTGCCTAATTAACACTTTAGTTTTTCTTTATTTTCTTTACTATTTATTTTTTTTGTTGGGTGAGCAAAACACGAGTGGTTCCCTATGTTGCACTGACACGCCAAACTGATGGAGTGTCGGAGTGTCCGACACGCCGACACGCCGACATATGCCTCAAAAGGGCATAATGAACAAAGAGGCTCTGGGAATTCAAGGACTTGAAGATTGGAGCAAAACAAACCCAAGCAATGAAGTTGAATTTCGGAGCAGGAGCCAAGCAACCAGTCTCCAAGAGCCCAGTGATCGGTCGTCAGAGAATCCTGAAGAAGAAATTCAAACCTGCCCAAAAGCGACCGGTCGCCAGGAGCCCAGCGACCGGTGGTTAGAGAATCTTGAAGAAGAATTTCGAACCTGCCCAAAAGCCACCGATCCCCAGGAGCCCAGCAATCGGTCGTCAGAAAATCCTGAAGGAGAATTTCGAACCTGTCCAAAAACGACCGGTCGCTAGGAACCCAGCGACCGGTTGTCAGAAAGTCCTGAAGAAGAATTTCAAATCTGCCAAAAAGAGACCGGTCGCCAGGAGCCCAGCGACCGATCGCTGGGCTCTTGGAGACTGGTCGCTTGGCTCCTGCTCTGAAATTCAGCTTTCGTTTGTCAAGTCCGAAGACCAGCTGGCAGATATATTGACAAAAGCTGTTTCTAGCATATTATTCCACAACTCACTGATCAAGTTGGGCATTGGTGATATCTATGCACCAACTTGAGGGGGAGTGTTAGCTATGTTGTCTATTAGTCAATTAATGTGGCTAGTCAATTAATGAGGATTAGTTTGGCACCTACAATGGTTGGCACCTACAATGGTTTGGTTGCCTAACTTTGTAGACTTGACCTTGGGAATTCAAAGGTTGCCTAACTTGGGGGGCTTGACTATTGTAATAAATGTTGTAGAATATTTTCTAGTTTTCATTTATTTCTTCATTACTTACAATCAACATATATATAGTTTCCTAAAACATTTATTACAATAGTCAAGCCCCCCAAGTTAGGCAACCTTTGAATTCCCAAGGTCAAGTCTACAAAGTTAGGCAACCAAACCATTGTAGGTGCCAAACATTGTAGGTGCCAAACTAATCCTCATTAATTGACTAGCCACATTAATTGACTAACAGACAAAATAGCTAACACTCCCCCTCAAGTTGGTGCATAGATATCACCAATGCCCAACTTGATCAGTGAGTTGTGGAATACTCTGCTAGAAACAGCTTTTGTCAATATATCTGCCAGCTGGTCTTCGGACTTGACAAACGGAAGCTGAATTTCGGAGCAGGAGCCAAGCGACCAGTCTCCAAGAGCCCAGCGATCGGTCGCTGGGCTCCTGGCGACCGGTCTCTTTTTGGCAGATTTGAAATTCTTCTTCAGGACTTTCTGACAACCGGTCGCTGGGTTCCTAGCGACCGGTCGTTTTTGGACAGGTTCGAAATTCTCCTTCAGGATTTTCTGACGACCGATTGCTGGGCTCCTGGGGATCGGTGGCTTTTGGGCAGGTTCGAAATTCTTCTTCAAGATTCTCTAACCACCGGTCGCTGGGCTCCTGGCGACCAGTCGCTTTTGGGCAGGTTTGATAAAATATGGGTTAAAAATGGAAAAAGATTTTTTAAAACCTAAATGAATCTCATCTCACTCACATTTTCAGCCTTCAGTTCATATACGCAGCAGCTCTTCTCCTGAGCAGCTCCTCCTTTTCTCCAGCTTTTGCAAAGGTAAGTATCTTTTCAATTTTGTTTCCCTTTGTTTTTCAAATTCTTTTATTTATGTTCTCTATCTCTATTTTGTTTTCTTATCTCCCTCTTCACAGTAGTAGAAGAGTTAGATTTGGTGGTGAGGTGAAGATTATTTCTTATGTTTTTTTTAAGAGAAACACAACAAGAAGGACGATTCTTTCTTGCAAATTGTGACCAAGAAGGACAATTCCTTCTTGCAAACTCAGGTTAGGCTTCACAGATTTTTAATTTTGTTTCTCTGTTTTGATGTGTTTTTTGTGTGTGGGTATTTTGTATGATTGTATCTGTTTGGAGCTTTTTTTTTAATTTTTAATAAAAGTTTTGTTATTAGTTGTTGAGTATATTTGAATTTGGTTTGTTTATAACAAGAAATCAAAGGGATTAAAGCAATGAAATAAAAGAAGAAACAAGAATGAAAACTACAACACGGTTGCAAAATTAAAAAAAAATTAAAAAAAAACAAAACAGAAACCACACAGAACACTAAATCCTAACAAACAGTCCTTAACAAAACACAAACCTTAACGCTTTAGAAAAGAAAACAAAGAAATGTTGTCAGAAGAGGACAGCCGAAATAAAACAAAGCAAACACACTTCCCAAACTGAAATAAAGCACCAGAAAACATGGAGAGGGGAAAACATGGAGAGGGGAAAAAATAGAGTGAAAGTAGACCCCGAATCTCTCATCAGCATATGTGTATTTAAACCACGCCCCGGTAAGCTGATTAT